ATCTCTCCTTGTCCTGTTATAATTGAAAATATATATTTTACAATTTGCAGTATGACGTTATCCATTGCTAAATTATGGCTCATCATAGACTAGCTAACTACAAAGCTAGCTAATGCCACTATCATCAGTGGAAGACCGCTAATGTTAACATTAATGAGCTTTGGTTCCTCTGTTCTGTTGCGACAATAAAAGAAAGAAAGTTTTTTTTTTTAAATGCATTATCATATTATTTTAGTTAAAACTCATAAATAACTACAAATAACTAATGTTAGGGAAATCTGTTGATGTATCGGATTTTAAAACCGAAAAATATTTGTATCGGTATCGGCCTTCAAAATCCTTTATCGGTCGGGCTCTAATAGATGTAACATAGCCTATTCCGGGCTCATGCACTCATGCTCACCTTTGTCGCTTTTGGTTTGCTTAGTTCGGGACATTTAATTTTATCTTTAACAATATTATTGCAAAATATTTTTCCTGTTATCCCTGTAAAGGTGCTCTGAAACAATATAAATAAAAGTGACTTGACCTAAAGCTTGCTAAAAAGCACCGGCAAAAGTAATGATTGAGTGTGTCATACAAAATAGCTTGGAGACATTATAATTATTTATTAATAATCTAGTGTTTTCCGAGGGGGCTTTCACACTGTAAGTTTAGTTTGAAACGGGGCACGGTTAACATGAAAAATTGGTAATGTGAAAGCAGCTGTCATGTTTGACCCCTGTGCGACTACTACAGTTTGGTCTACTAAGCCAACTAACATTTAGTCGACATGATTCATGAAATGAAAGACACCCCACATGAACTTCATCTCCTGAGCTGCTCTGGCAGTTCACTTGAATTTAATAGTAATAAAAGTAACAAGTTCATTAACATAAAGCCACTAAAAAATAGCCTTGAATCAATCTGGTTCTGCATGCATTTCAGCAAACATTGAACATATCTGATTGATGTGAATCTTATTACATGTGGTATCAAAGTTGGATTCAAATTGAATTGCGAAATTTCACTGGTACTAGAAGTTCATAAATAAGTGTCAAATTACTTATTACAATACAAGGTTACATGGTCAAAAACAGTAATAATTATTTTTTTATTCCTTTTATATGTGGAGCCAACTAAATTACTCATTAAATCGAATTGAGAATTGAATCTAGTAAGTTGAGATCTTGTGAATCTGTAATCCTAGCCCTAATTGGTTATAATCCTGCTCAGAGATAAACATTAGGGATGGGCATTCGATTAAATTCTTAGTCGATCGTCGAAAGAATTAACGATCGACTTATCGATTAATCATTAATATTTTTATATTAAAATTATTATTTTTACTTTTTATAAATTAAAAATGCAATGTAAATACAAAAATACAGCATGTTTTTTACCTCCGCGCTAACATCAACAGCCCTGGGAACACGTTCACTTTCCCCTCAAACTACGCAACGCAGCAGCATTAGTTTAATGATAATCGACGAAATTCTTAATGATCAATAATCGATCGTCAATTAATCATGCCATCATCCCTAAATACACATCCAGAGTTTTATTGTAATGCATGGTAGGCTACTTGAATAAAATAAATTCCTTAGGCCGTGTGTCCACCAAAGTGTTTTTTCACGCATATGTTTTCAATGGGAGCACCGCGTTTTTAAAACACCATGAGCGTAACAAGGCGCTGGAGGTTTTTTTCATGCTGAAGCGTTCAGCGCCTGGTGTTTTGTTGCGCTTCCTTTTACAGTACAGTACTTGCAGTGTACTTGCCAGAAAGTACTAGCTAATATAAGGTAAGTACATGGAACAGGGATAGGTTTTTACTGGTCGCCGAGAGTGAAAAATGTTCAGCTTTGGTTAAAACAGCGCTCATCACTGTCACTTTTTACCCAGTCGTCCAATCACAATTGAGGAGGGGTGGGACTAATACCAC